TACTACAGCCTTACTGCAGCTTGTATTTATGCATTTAGCTGAAACAATTTTGGCTGAGGGCACTCACTCCAAAAAAAGGTAGATTGTTGGTGAATAACCTCTCACCGAGCCACTACATATTACTACCATGCGTGACACAGCAAAATGAATGAAGTGAGCGCCTTTTATAGTGTCCCATAGAACTGCCTCTGCCTCAAACAAAGTCAAATGACAGCCATCCCCGCCCCACTGCACTAGCTGAGGAGATAACGCTAGCTAGCGTGGCAAAAAACGAAACGAAAAGCTATTAACTGGTTAACTCATATGTTGCCAAGTTGTTCCCACATGAGTTGTATCGCACAATGTACCAGCTGCATTTAATTACACATGCATGTCGACCGTGCTTGCTTTACCGGCGAGTAATGTTTGGACCTTTGCAACCGGGCTAGTTAACCGATCACGTTATCGTTAGCTCAGGAGACAGCTGGCTAACAAACTATCCCTGGCTAATCCACCAGCGGTGAACTGGTTGCTATCGGCCTGCTCTGCTGAAGGCAGCTGTCAGTACAGGGACGGTAACGTCAGGTGTCCTTGACGGTTCTTGAACGCAGTGACACGTTTCGACAGACGGGTGAACCCCGTTAACGTGCGGCCGTTACAGCACGTTAGAGCAGCGGGGAGAGGAGTCTCCAGGCAACGGTTACCATGTTCTCCTGCTCTCGGCTGGCTCGTGCTGCGCCGTCTTGGCCCTGCACGGGACTCGCGCTGCCTTCTGGTGTTTTCCGCTCCCCGGTGCCTTTCGTCTCCTTCGTCCTGCTGCGATTCCACAGGTACACCGCCCCCACTCCCAGCACTATGGGAGTCCCGACTAACAGTGCCAGCTGCCAGCGGGGTAGTCCAGTCCCGGACTGCGGCTCGACTGGCTTTGAAGCAGCCATGATCTACAACCGAGCAATAGTTAGCCAGAACCACCGCCACAAGCGTGAGCGAGCGCCGCTTCTTCTTCCCGTGCTGTACGAGGTCACAGACACACCGAGGAATCATGGGATACCGGCGGACAATCCCCGGGGCTGTGTGTAGTTGTAGTTCGGCAGTGGGTTTTTGTAGTCCAAACATCAGTGCAGCTGAGAAGCAGGGTATGTTTTACTTTAAACATGTAATCTGATACATGTACCAATTACTTGTTCAAAGATGTCATCTTATAATGTTAAAAAAATTTATTAAAAATGTAGTCAGTAACCTAATCTAAGTATCACAATATTAAAGTATGTAACTTGATTACTTTCCAGTATGTTTATGGGTTTAAGGTTTATTCATTTATCATTCTTCAACACAGGGTTGTACAACAAAATGCAAGCTGTGGTGACTTATGCTACACAAAACGCTATTATTTATGGTGGAGGATTAATAAATTAATCTGTTAGGGAACTGCATGGTAAAAATCTACTACTGACCCACTAACCTCACTCTGTGTCTCCTGAATGAACTGGAATGAACATTGTTTGCATGTGAAGCCCTTTATAGAGGAGGTTCATTATAAAGACACACATTAGAGAATGAACAGTATGGGAACAAGTAGGCCTATCCTGGAATACTGTCAGCTACCAGATTTACCTTTTAGTTTACAGCAAGTTGATTAAATACATTTGTATTTTGTATGCAGGCTGACTGCAGCCACCAGGTGGCAGTGCTGCTGACTTTCTCATAAATCCATATGCGTGCATACTCTTTGTACTGTACAGAAATAACCACTTGAACTAAAAAGGTCTGCACGTACAAGACATTGTAAAACAAATCTTATTCCTGTCATTAAAAGCAATATAGTATAATTTGTGAATAAACAGTGAAGGTTATTTTCTTTTCAAATTGCAGATGTTTTTCAGCACCAACACCAGCACTCTACAGTTTATCCTGGTCAATGTGGATTCATCATATGAGTTTGCGTGCCTGCGTGCGTATGTTTGTGTCTTTGCCAGGTTCAGTCTCCTCTCTGTCCCAGTTTAGAGCTTTGTGCTGGTCTGTCTGCTGGAGCCTGACTGCTCAATTTGCACCCGAGGCAATCTGTCCTCAAACAGTAACCAGTGCTGAAAAGTTTTCAAAGTCAACTGTATTTAGCTGGTTATGGGACGCCTGTGTAATAAGGGGTCCTGTCCTTGCAGCAACAGAGACCATTGATAGGACAACTATTCCCTCATGAGGTGTTCCATATTTCAAGGACTGAAGTCATATATTCACACAGTCGGGTGCATTGTTTCATTCAGTTTTGGAGCTGTATTAAACTGAAAAGGCTGCATTTTAAATTCACAATTTAAACCAAATGAAGAATAAAATCTGTCCTGGTTGAGTAGCTTAAAACATGTGGATGCCTCTCAAAATAATCCATTTTACACTGACACAGTAGCTTGTTTTGAAAAGCCATGAAATCAATTTTGCCACTGAACTACAACACGTGATGAGACACAATAACCTTGTATATTGCACGTGTCGCGTGTCTATACAGTGACCCAGCATATATTGTTGTTTCAGAAAGGTGAAAAGGGTTACTGGCAGAGGTTACAATAAGGATGTCTGATCTTCAGGCTATTCCTGACTCCTAATTCTGTTGTTCCTGTTAAATGTGCCTGCTATTGTTAGCACAGCCTGGCTTAGTTTTAGTTGCTGCCACTAGATTGGAAATCTGTGACCACTGAGACATGTACGCTCCTATAATGCTGGCAAGTGTTTAGATGAATTGTACTTTGGAAATTTAATTTAAAATGTATTTGTCTTTACAAACCAACTGCGTAAATACACCGAATGATTCCAGTAAGATCATTTAATCAGATTAATCAGATGCTCATACAGGTACATTTTATTTAAACAGCTTGTTGTCGACCTCTTTGTTGGCTAATTAAGTCTAGGTTTCAAAAAGTATTTTGTAACACTATTTAGCAGATTTGTGACACACACACACACACCGAAGAGAAAGTTGAATCAGTTGTAGTCAATAAGCTTTAACAGAGTTAGCCGGCAGTCTCCTGTCCCATCATTCATAAATCTGATCTCTTGTACTCCAGCTGGATTTAAAATATTAAACTCCATTGTTTTGCACTTTGTTACATTTGTTCCTTATTATAATGTACAAGGACTATGAAGTATTTAAATATATCTCAAAAGACGTTAGTTTGGCTAATCCCTCTGAATATGTAATCTGATTACTGATTTATTTTCCAAAAATATTGGGTTATTTGCATTAAGATTTGTATATTCTAATATTATGTAGGTATATATAAAGAGTGTTTATTGTTATTCTTGGTCATTTGTGTTCATGTGCGACCTTAATTGGCTCCCATCTCTGGAAAAACAACAGATTACTGTAATCCTGTTCTCTGTCACAATCTGAGGTTACATGACAAGGCAGCGTGAATGTCTCATAACAGTGCTTATCCAGATCAGTCCTCGTCTTTCAGACTCAGGTCTCTGAGATGATTAGCAGCAGTTTGATCCGTTCGGTTTGTGAAGGAGGATTTTGCTCAAGTTCAAGGGTAAATTTCATCTTAAGAAATTCCTGAAGCTGAAAACTTGAAGCAAAAACAATTTTAAAGTCCCCTCTAGTCAAAAATGTTTCTTCTTGTTCCCACAGTGTGATGTCGGAATGCTGTCTGTGCAGAGTTTGACACTAGAAGGATGTTTTCACATTCATTTGCTGAAGGTGGAAAGTTTCTCTGTGCTCATTGATAATATGATTTTCAGGGGCGGGGCCTACCAGCATGATTTGTGACATCACAAATAGTTAGAAAGTCAGTCCAGGTCGAGTATCAACTTGTACAGTGTGATTGTAGAAACCTGAAGCCACTAGTGGACAGACACTGAGAATGGACTTTACAGTGAAGGAGGAGACATAGATTCTGTAACTTTTAACATGGAAGAAGGAGTAGATGTCTTTTTAGGGATTTGTGGGAATTTTGAAAAAACATATCAGACATCCAACCAGACTATTTATATATGTTTGTAATACATGTCTGGAGATGTTCGATAGTGATTTATACATCATTACCATGTCATATTTCTATGCAAACAAAGCACATTCAGTATGACCCCTCAAACAGTGTTGTTGTTTTAATGGACACTCCACAAGACTCTATAGCATCATGCATATTTCATGTTGGAATAATATTTTCTCTCTTGAATTCATTGACGTGTGGAGTAAATAATGTCTTAAAACATCTGTTACTTTGCACAATGTTTATTTAACTTATAAATTGTATTTGTGATACTAATGGCATTGAATCAAGAGTGAACTACTGACATACCGTAAATGCTTTGGTGAAGTGGAACACTTCCACTCATTATCCAGTACATCTTCATACATTATGTGCTCATAAATATTTATGTTACAACTTGTGCAAATGTTGCTCTTCCAGTTGTGTACACAAATTGTACTTGATAAGAAATAAAGGCAAGAAAACAAAAAATTGGATTTAGCAGTACCCAGTGAAAACATATGCTCCCTCTCTGTCCTGTATTAAACAAGCCGCAGGCTGTCAGCGCACAGCAGTACACAGGGTAGCCACACTCCATAATTATTGACAGGTTTGATGTACTCAGCGAGTGGAAAGTATGGGGAAATTGGAGTTTCAGTTGTCTACCCCCAGGCCCATGACTGTAATGGAAAGATTAAAAGCACTGGTCACATCACCCACCCAGAGCCAAAATACTAGCCGCTCCTCTCTGACTCGCACCTCCCTGTTTATTCCAATCACCTCCACTTTTACTTTCTCCCAGCCACTTGGTAACTAGATTAAAGGGGATTCACTTATTTAAAGACTTGAGAACAAAAGCTCTGCAGTTTATTTCTGGATCATCCAAGAATACAACTACAGCAGCAGAGCTCAAGGCTCCAGAGGGATTTAATTGAAGTTACCTTTGGTTTGTGGGACAGTGTTGTGTAGTAGAGCAGCCAGTCAGAAGCTTAGTAGGTCAGCTCAGCATCGTCTTTACCCTCCGTGCCACTCGGCTGGGATCAGACTTTCATCTGTTGTACTGGGACTTGCTGCACCAAGAGGCTCCCTGCACAACTCCAACATGGCTCTCAGGCTCCTGCCTGCTTTCATTATGGACAATGATGAGGATGATGATGGCAACTTCACTAAATGGATGAGCAGTTACTGGGGTCACGGAGCAGAATCCAGACACTCCAGGGAAAGAAAACGCAGTTTCAGAAGACCTTCGAAAACACTACCTGATCGAAGAGCATCACTCCCGACTGTGGTAAGCATTTAATGGATGCACGCATGGGCCTTTCTCTAAACAGCAGCAACACACTAAATATCTGTCTGACCACAGCATAAATAGTGCTTTTAAACTGATGTAAACTTGTAAAAACTACTACTTTTTAAAATAAATTACCAAAAAATACTGTATTAATCAAATTCATCAGCATGGAAAATTAAATATTAAAAATAAAAGTTATGTACAGTAAATTCAAGAAATAAGGTTGAAAAAGCAAAAATCGTATGGATATTTTGGCAGTTAATGACAGTAAACGAATGCATATAAATACTCTGTAGGTCTGTGATAGTGTTTAGGAAAAGGATATTCTGACCTGTAATATGCCAATTTCACATCAATAATGTCTGCTCATGCTCACACAAACACACAGACATGCACTGATAGATGTGTTGTTGTTGATGTTAATGTTGTTGCTGTTGTTTAAGACTGACTTATATTCTGGTGCAACTCCAGTAAACAGGAGTTCATTTAACTTCCTGTATATGCTAACTTAACTAGACTGAGTTGATTTCATTGCTTCACTATTATTGATAGAAAGTTTTCAGATGAAAGCAGACCTGGTTGGGAGTCTCATCTGTTTCCTGCTAATGTGCAAGTATATATGTCTATGTAAGTTTAAAAGATATTACAGCAATTATTTACTGAAACAAACAAACCCTCTTGTAGGAAATCAGATTCTTTTATAAAAATATCTGATGTTTTTGAATCATGGACAATGACTACAACAAACTAACTACTACTAATAACGGCCACGGACATGCAAGAGCTCTTACACAAATTGAGAACACGTGCTCAATGCCATAAGGTAATTTACTTACACAGCGAGCGCAGCACACTTGTGGCTCATACAGTAGGTACTCAGTCAAGTAGCATTAAGCAAGATAATATATATAGGCATATACCCTGTATGCAAGGGGACAAATGACGATGAGTGTGTGAGCTTAAGTTAAGTTTTCTTTTTTCATGAAAGCAGTACTTAGCAGTCATATTATTTTGTTTACATTTGGAGGTCTTTAGTTTTATTCCTTGGGAACCAAAGAACATCTTCTAAGTTAACTGGCAGGTTAATGAAACAAAAGCAGCTGATGAGAGATATGATGACACATGCTCATATAGATTGGCCTCTCTGATGGCTCGGCTGAAAATTTGATTTATTTTCAATGTGAAAGCCTCTGCTCACTTCTGCTAATACAAATCGACTTGAGCACTAGATCCAGAGGAGGAATGAGCCAAATGACCCCAATATTAATCCATAAGTAGATAGATGTGTACTGTAAGGCAGTCTTTTTAGACATTGTTAATGAACAATAGAGCAAGCTTTGTCTTGTAATTGGGTTCTTCGAGGGGCACTCCATGGATTTTACACATCTAAGTCTTCAAAATTAATAAAGACAACCTGTGTTACAAATTGGTTAAAGAAATGGGCATGTACCTGAAGGGAGAATCTAACTAAAAGATGCCATTCAGTTGCACTGTGGGAAATATAGGATGCATCATTTTTGGAGCTTGACCAAAACTAGGTCTTGAAAGTCAGAATATCTCGGCTTCTGCTGTGTCGAGTCTCTTGTGTGTGATTTTATCATCAGGAGCACTAATTTCAAGTCAAAACCAGAATACTATATATAATACTGTAATACTATATATATATACTGTAATACTATATATAATACTGTAATACTATATATAATAATATATTGCTTTATTTTGACCATGCCCACAACCAGTTATTATATTTTTTCAGGTTTAGTGTTTATTGTTTAAAAATGTTTTTATTAGTTTCAGTGTTAGTTTTAGTTTTTTAAAACAAAAATATTGGGGCTATTTTTCAGGGGCAAAATTTAAGACAGTCAGAATAGGTATAACAATATAAACACAACACTGTGAAGGCAATTGATTTGTTGTCATGTAGACAACACAGTCTCATCCTTGTTCTGTTGACTCATTTAACCAAATTGACAAAGACTAAAATCTATTTTTATATTATTTTTGTAAGTAGTCAGTTTTCGATTTTTCGTGTAATTTTATTTTGTTTCAGTTAACCAACATTTCTTTAACACCTAGTTGGAGTTTTTAGTTTGGTTTTAATTAACTATAATAACCTTGCCCTCAACATACCTGTTTTGCAACATATAAGTGTAATAATCAGATTATTCCTGTTGTGTACACAATCAATGAACTGACTGTCATGAACTATTATTAGGTTGGTGCATTGCCAACATGTTACTTAAGAATATTAGGAGTAACCCCATTCACAGACTCAGCCTGGTCTGGTTTAATTTTCTTCTTATTATGGGAATATTAACACTATTACTATATACTATTTCTTTTGAGCTGATACTGAATCATTGTGTAATAGCACTAACTGTCCTTCTCTGTGTGGTCCACAGTCACAATTAGATGCCATGAAGTTGAACCGGCTCCATGCAGCGGCGATGGCAGGCACCCCGAGCCACATCAAAACAAGAGAGGAGAAGGGGGAGGTCCGGCCCCACCAGAGAGCTCGTCGTGCCTCCTCAGATGACAACAGCCGCTCCAAGTCAGCCATCCCAGAGAACCGCATCACCACCATCCCAGAGCTCACAGAGTCCTTCGAAAGGAGACTTTGTCTCCGTGATAAGAAGACCATGTCTCTGGTGAGCAGAGTTAATGAAAGTTTACAGTTTTCTTTCCCAGCCCAATGTATTGCAGATTAACCAGCTGCAGGGTCAATCAGGTTTGGTGCCCTCTGTCTTTCACTGGAAGGGTGATGACAGGATCATAGGCAGGTTTGAACTGCATGGCATGTCCCAAAAGCTCACATTATTCATTGTAAACTGTGCTGTATCTCTTGTAACACTGTGAGGACCAGAATAAGATATTTCACATTTTATGAAAGGGCTAGGCAATGCTGTATTTTGTATTTGCGTATTTAAATATTTTAGTTTAGTTTTAAATGGTTTGTTTTCAATTTTCACACCTTGTAATGTAAAAAATCAGGTTTAGGTTTTGAAGTTTGGATATGACAGCAAAAATATTTCCTGTATGCCTACATTGTGTGAACATACAGTATATTTACTGTTGATAATATACAGGATAATTTACTCATGTATTATTCAGATCATTTAGAGGATTTCTGGAGAATAATCTGTGGCTAAATGCAGAGTTGTGTTTTGTCATCAGTTTTAAAAAACATCATATTCATTGGCTGTTTTAAAATATTCAGCTTTTAACACTGAATATCCCTCCTTTTACAGAATGATGACGACAAGCTGTGCCTGATCTGTCATGAGGACATGCGGATGAGTGGAGGGGGAGTCCAAGAGCTGCACTGTACACACCGCTTCCACAAAGAGGTAAAACATATTTTATCAGTCAGACGCATTGCATGTCTCCTCTATACTGTGTTTACACGTCCCCAAAGCAAAGGAGTCTCCACTTATTCACTCTAATCCCAGCATGTCAGAGATCAGATGATGGTGCATGAAAGCAGCTCATTCCTGGATATGCATGATGTGAAGTGGGATGAAAACAACCTGCCTACAGCTGAAACCTATCTCTGTGGAAGCATGGAGCACTCTAACAACTTTCCCCCTGGTCTGAGGACTTACTGATCATGATGTCTCCGTTTGGTGGGTGCTGAAGGCGGCTCGGAGGTCAGAGCAGTGTCGGCCCCGCAGCGGTAGTGAGGCAGCAGCCTGTCAGGTGAGGAGACTCTCGGACGAGAGGAGGAAGTCGGCTGATGGACCAATCTCCACAGAGAAAGAGCAGCACATACACCGACGTCAGCTTTCCCTGCGGAGACATCGCTGATATCATTCTGTGGAAGGAGGTGACTCATCGATGGAAAAGATGAAAAACATCAGGATCCTTTCCTGAACTTTTACTACTATATGGTGTGACGTTCAAGTGTTAAAATCTCAGGGCCTTGACTGTGCGTGACCTGGTCCTCTAAAACTGTCCCGTGGGCCCTATTGGAGGCATTTTCTCCTCATTGTCAAAAAACTAATTTAGGAGAATCCTTAAATTATATTTTATAATTGTACAAATATTTTAAAAGTCTGAAATAAAGAAAAATAATTTCTATGGAAAATTCTTATTAGGACTTATTATACAAGTAATTTCTATATGAGTATTAGAAATTACCAGAACCTGAAGTTTCCTGCTTGAACTACCAACTGCTGTACTGAAATATAATGCTACTTTAACACTGGCAAACAATATGTGCCTCTATGTAATACCACTTTTCTAAATGAGACGTATAAGCTATTTTCTTCATAGTAGTATATAAAGCCTGTCAAGATGCTCATAGGTTGTTACTTTATGCTCAGTAAGGACTTGTTTCTGGGTGATAATCTCACCAATATCTTTCTGCTTACATTCATCAAATGATTTTAAATATCACACACAGAGAATATTTTCAATTCACGAGCCTTTCAGCAGAACTACAATATAATTTTAATAGTGTGGCAAGTAAAAAATATGCTACAAAAATATTCCAATGGCACTTACAGTAGATCTAATTCATTTGTCTCAGCCGCTGTAATTTAGTGTTTCCACTAATGCTATATACTGTAGAGTGTGTGGACTAGTAGGGAGACTTGATTGCTTGGAAGTTGCTTTAATGGAGTCCAAAAGATGTGTTTTTAGTGTTTTGTGTTGTAACAGTCAATAAGGAAATAAATTCTCAAGTTATCTACTTTGCATTGTACCTGCTTTATACCTTTTTAAACAGAGGAAACAGTTTGGACTCTTTTATAACTGCACTTCTTTAACAATAGAGTGAACGTACAGAGTAAAACACGTGATAACAGTGTCCTCATAGCACGTCAGGGTCAGTGCAGATGGTGTCGTGCGTATGCTTACTGTAGGTCAGCATGTTGGAAATTACCTCCTGGCGTCAGTAAGGGAAATCAATACCAGAAGAAATCATAAACATTCAGCCTGCCTGAAAAACAGATACAAGAGATGTAACCACCGCTTTTAAAATGTGTTTTCAGTGCATGGAGCAGTGGCTGTGGAAGAAACAGATGTGTCCCACATGTCGTGTCTATGTGTCCATGCTGAAGCCCCTCTACTGGTCCTCGTCCCGCACCAAAGTCCCATAACGGTCCTGTGCCTACACACCTGCCATGTCTGCATGCCCATGTGACCCACTGACCCTCCTGCATGAACACCTGCTGCTCCAGTTGGTCAGGGTTTAGGAGGAGCAGACTTTAAATCATCTTCTGTCATGGGAGGGCCCTCAGTAAGAGAGAGAAATTATAATTTGGTGGTCTCACACTGTTATAAGAATATAATGTTCTGTTCTGTGATTACCCTAATATCAGAGGTTTTGTCTTTACTTTGTTAAAAACATCTGGAGACACTGCATTAAACCTGCACTTTTATTTCTTCAAGATTAATTATATTTTTTTAATTATCAATTTCTCTGCAAATTATTTTTGCTTCCTTTTTTCTTTTTGCGTTTTTGCACATCTCATTTACCTTAAAGGAACGATTTGACACTTTGGGAAATACGTTTATTGGCTTTCTTACATAGCGTTAGATGAGGAGACGCTGACATGTGACTTTTTTTTCTTTTTTACTTTTGAAAAAAACAAATATCTTAAAAACAGACTTAAAGCAACTACAAGAAATATTCATTTTATGTCGATTCTGGCGCCCCCTGTGGACAAAAGCGGTAGTGTTTCTATTGCCTCATTTCATTGAGTTCAGAGGAAAGGGTGGCAGACATTAAGAGTAACTATATAGAAAAAATAATCTTCTTTCTGATGGTCCGTTTGTGTACGTCATATAGAGGCATTAGTATTGAACTGAGTTGAAAAAAACTTTAATTTTAACTAGTTTAATTTGATTAGTTTAGTCTCCTTTTTCTGACAAGAACAAAGTTACTGTTATTCACTAACAGAATGTCAATAGTGTGTTGAGTATTTGCAAATTCAAACTAATTGTGGGCAGTATTGGTTTTATGTATTGTAGACTCAGTCCAGAACTAAATCTTGTGGAAGTATCTAATAACAGCATGGACATAAACTAAAAATTCTCACAGCTTCATGATGACTATGCTGTTGTGAAAGTGAGTGAGTGCACCCACCTGTGTAAATTAACTTTACTCTGAAGTTATGAAGTGAACTGCTGAAACAATAAGCTTCTCTGTCACACCCTGTTTTCCATCTGCTCCACCCTCCTGCCTTATCTATGCTTATATTGTTTTGCATGTGAAATATTTTGCATGTGAGGTCTAATCCGCTGTCATCTCTGCACTGTTGTGTATCATACACTGCCAATTGAGAGTCCAACAAAATCAGACTGTCTGTATATACATGTAGCCGCATAAATAAGCAATTGTGTGAATGTGATTTTGTGTCTAGTTAGTAAAAATTGTCTTTCCGTGTACAGGATGTATATCAGTATTATTATTTCATGTGATCTTAATTCATTTACTAACCAGTAAACCCTGGTAATCCGCTGTGGTCTTGCAGGGATTTTATGTCCAACCAAAATGAATCTGTTTCTGCAGCACATACGTTTGTTAGGATCAGTATAATGGATGGAATAACTGGAAGCTATCCAAGTGATTTTTAAATCTCTAAATAGTAAATGACATTGTAACTAAGCTACATTTACTGTCCTCTCTAAAAAATATAAATGTGTCTTTTGGATTGTCTTTCATACATGACATTAAACTTTATTGATGTCCTACATTTTAAAAGATCTTGACTCCGAACCAAAAATACAGAATAGTTGTGTAAATCCAGCTTCACACTGCCACGACTTAAAAGGCTAAAGTAATACTCGAAGATCAACACTCAACCTTCAGCTGCTTCGTTTACTGTTTCCCTGAGAACAAACTGCTGACACACAGCACTGTTTTCCACTGTTGGTGTTGCGCTCTTAAATAAAAACACACTGACGTGACACTCCCTTGCTTAAAGTGGTTTTCTTTCAACAATAATATACTTTTCTGTTCTTCATGTACCATTTACAGTAGTTATCTCATTTCATAATGCTTTCATTGTTCAGATTATAGCACTGCAGCCCACAACAAGGCCAATAATAACAAGTATTTAAAGTTATCCAAATCCCATAATAACAAAAGCAACACTATAATAGATCTTTCTCAAAGCAGACATTTTGAGCTTGCACGATATCAAAGGCCTGTCACTGACACACCTAACTAAATGGAATGCAGTCGATATCAACGTCATTAGTTTCACCTGTTTGATATTATAATGTCTATTGTAAGTGGTACAGATGGTGTTATTCCCTGTTTAACTGTTACAATACGTCCTGCTCTGAGTTAATATGGAATTAATTATACAGCAGATACTGTAAATGTAGGGAAAACATACACAATTTATATGCTGTTAAATACTGTTACTTCAGTATGTTCAAGTACCCTTTGATTTTTTCCTATAAAGTAGCGTTAAATGCTTGAGTTGCGTTTTATGACATATTGCTGGGGCGATTAGCGAAGGGTTGAGAGGCAGTGTGCGAGGGTGTGTTTATTTGTCACCTGTGAACAATCAGAAAATAACTTCTTATTTCTCTGATTTACCGGCTTTCAACTGGTGCTTCTTCTTCTTATTCACTCTCTATGTCGTTCAACCACCAGACACAAACGTGTGGAGCAGCTTCATCAGTCTCATCAGCGGCCACGACAGTGCTACGTTTCTCCAAGAGTTGATTCTGTTTCAACTCCTCACAAGTTGCTGGAAAGTGTATTCTGCATGCTTGCGCGAGAACAAACAAAATACGGTCAACACTCATAAAAACATTGCTCTAGCGCACTACTAGTGGTTGAAAACTTCACAGGGTGCCTTTAAATGTGACACATTTTGGGCCATTTAAATTATTAATAAAGATTTTAAATTTCCCCAGAATGTTATTCCTGGCAGTGTGGACTTATAGTAGTAAGTAATAGTGGGTTTAACACACAAGCTGCAGCCTACAACCAGCCTTAGAGAGGGGAATCGAGAACCGGTTCCAAATAGTCTAATCCATCGTAAGCCACCAAGTTTATCAGTTCCTTTTTAATCAGTGCCAGCATGTTTTTTTTGACTGTTGCGCATTATAAAACAATTACGTCAAACTCAAACCCGTCGCTGCTAGAAACCTGAAACAAGAAGGAGTCATGGTGGAGCAGAAGAAACGGTCCAAAGCTCCTCATTTCACAAAGAAACTATAACTCTACTCTTTTTCTACACTGTGTTCAGACTTACAGATGATAATACAGTTGTGGCCTACTTTTTTCCACAAAGAAAATGGATCAGGAATCAGTACAGGAATCAACAAAGAATCTGACCGATAAGCAGAATCGATAATGGTATTAGTATCAATAAAATCTCATCTATTCTCATCCCTGCTTTTACTAGCAGAATATATAGTTTATCCTCCTGTTTTACCCTTTACAAATAAATCAATTCTTCACAATCAGTAGTAGTAAACTACAGTATAAAGCTAGAATATGTGTTGGACGTTAGAGGGGCGTTTGTAAAACACTTTGGGTGACAATGGATAAACTGTTCTCAGTTTACTGTGCTGGTTGTTGGCCTTGTAGTAACCTGACTAACACTAGAAGTCACTTGTTGCTTCCATTCACACAACAGTAAATCTCTGCCAGCCGCTCCGCAGTGAATAAAACAGCTAACGTGAGGAACCGAAGCTCCGGTCTGAAGCCCAGGAAGTCTTCCAGCCCAGTGTACGTGCCGGAGGTCTTGTCCCGGGCGGTCTGTGCTGTCTGGCTGGATGGAAAGTAGCGGTTTCCTCCGAGCAGGGAGGGACAGTGCAGAGCACCATCGGGCGGAGTGAAAGTGCACACGTGGACAGCTGAGACTGACGTGGACTTCAGCCAATGACAGCACGGACCGATGATGTCAGCTCACCTATCATCCAATGGGATAGTTTATTGGGGGGTAAAAGCCTAAACTGTTTGGAGTCGGAAAAAATTCGGAAAAAAGAGGTTGTGAAACGATCTGTTTGGAGGCTGCTGGTGGAGACAGCTGATGTTTACTTCGTGTCTTGCCGAGGGACAGACAGGGTATCTCTCTTTTTGGCTGCTGGAAAAATGATGTGAGGAGAAAATGAGGATATTTTGATTTTTTTTTGGCTGGAAATACTTAAATACTTACTTCACCTCCTGGAAGAAACATACTTGGGTAAGACCCCCCTTTTTCTTTCTGCTGCAAAGGAATTCTGCATCCTGTTCAGTAGCTTTATAGTTTCACACACAGTCATTGTACTATACACTTATTACCTTTACACTTTACATTAAAGTGCATTAAGATCCTCAGAGTATTGTTAAAGTAGGCTATATACCCTATAATTTATATTGGCCTCTGTAGTTTACATTTAGGTTCAGTAAACCCACTAAACTAATTACTTTATGTTGATCTGTACACCCAATAATCTCAGATGGCAAACTTGTTGTTCAAAAGTCTCATGTTAAGACATTTAATGAGCAACTCTTTATGTGTTTTCTGTTAGGAGGCAATACAATCTGTAGTCATAAGCTTTACAATCTCAGTCTCTGGTTGTTGATTTTTTATTTCTACAGCCTCAACATTTCTGTCCCCTTGTTCGGACAATCTCTACCTGCATGAAAGATCCCATGGTGTCACCAACAAATACTCTTGACTTGCCTTAACAGGTTTTCCACTAACTACAGTTCATCTAAATGTGAAAAGGGTTTGCAGGACTTTAAAAAATGATACATGTGATTATGGATTTCAGTTATATCACTCACTGCATTGGAAGTTTGATGATCCAACATTAAATCAAACGTACAATTGTTAAATACTTTTAGTGTAACCTATAATCAGTGATGGAGGAAGTATTTACGTGAGAAAAAAGCAGCAATCCCACTCTACTCAATTCCTGCATTCAAAATTGTATTTAAATTAAAGTATTAATGTACTTAAAGTATTAAAATTAAAAGTCCTCATTATGTAGAATGAGCTTTCTGAATCCTTATTGATGCCTTAACATGTGCACTTTAATGTTATAATTAGTCAAGGTAGGGCTGTTTGAACTGTTTCATATACTAATAATTATGGACTGATCACATGTTTTCTATATAAAATGATATAAATATATGTTTTATATATAAAAGTACGACATAGCATCCTTGAGTAAATATACTTATTTACTTTCCACCACTAATAAAATCCTCGTCATAAAGAAGTGTGGGAACCACTGAATCTGGAAACAAAACTGCGCAGATGTTGCTGTTGATACTGCGAGTAAATCAGACAAAACCTGGAGAGTCTCCCAGCAGCACTGGAGAGACATGAGGGAGTGATCGCCATGGCAACTGAAGTGTTTTCTCAGTCTAGAGAGGTTGCATAGGCAAAAGGGCTGTCGGACACAGATGAGCTCAGTTTAACATCTCAAACAATCTGTTTGTATGGAGCGTCGTCCTTCAAAAGCTTCCTTTTGTTGCCGGGCAGAATATTGTCTGTCATCTCCATCACAAAAGAGAGCACAGCCATGTACCATTGATCTCCTCTTTTCATTTACAAGCGTTATTTAAGGGAAGTCAAACTGGTTTATAAAGGTTCTTTATACACATTCATGTAATTTCATATTTACAATGAAACCACAGGGAGGCACACAGGTGGATAAAAGGGAGCACAGCACATGACTGATTTGAAATGGCCGCCTGTTTGTTTTTGACTTATGTTTTGTTCCCTTAAGAGAATAAATGTGTAGAGGTAAACAGCAGATGATGGCATCCTGGTCTTCACCCACAGACACCATCACATCGATTAGGTGCAGGTTTAATTGTCAAAGAAATGATGGCTAATTGTTACCAAGAACAACATCTGTGTTAATTAATGCAGTGAGTATCTGTACAACCCTGCAGTGAAGATGAAGAAGATGTTCAAAGGCAAAGGTGCAAACCTTGTGACGCTCTAACAGGTTTCTTTCCGTGTCTAGACACACTTCTGCTGAGGTCAGCTGAAGGGCCGTCTCTAGCACACACACACTAATTATGTCTGATTATGCTGTTGAACTAAATTGCAGGCACTCCTCCACTTTTTCCTTCCTATTTCTTATTCCCTCCCTCCTGCCTGCCATGCTAAAAATACTGTATAATACCCACTCTACTGGAAGAACACTTTGTATAAAATATATGCCCAATTATCTTATTTTTGGTACATTTATTACCTGCAGGAAACCTTCCTTCCTGATGTAATATAGAGGCAGTATTGAGAATAAACCCCTAATTTATGTTGAAAAAAAATCTGTAAGAAGAAACTTTTCTCAGATCACTGAGACGACAGCAATCGTGGTTTCCCTTGATAGTTACTCTGCAGTGCTGCAATTATTTATCAAAACTGCTAATAGATTTGTTTTCTCCTACAGTTCAGGCGTTGTCAGTCATGGGAAGCTTCAAGGGCCACGCGCTACCTGGAAGCTTCTTTCTGGTAGCTGGGATCTGGTGGACAGGAAAGCACTCACTCTGGCACGCCACCCGCAGGAACAAGAATATCGGTTCCACTCGGCTGGCCAGCAGAGCCTCACAGCGCCGCCTGGAGATCATTGAAAGCTCTGTCATACTCTTCTTCTCTTTTGTGGGTAAGTTCCCAAAGCTGTTTGGATGTATAAACTTTAATGACAGTATACTGTATAAGTAAAGTATGACACAGGGCGTTTACAGTATTCACTCTTTAATTAAGGAGATCTGAGTGTTCCCTCTGCTGTGCTCCTCAGGGATGGTGGCAGAGCAGTTCTTAGCAGATGGACCGAAACTCCAGTTGTATGACTTTGCAGAGAAACACTGGGAAGATCTGATGAACTGGCAGCATACCACCATGTATCTGTTCTTCAGCTTGGCTGGGACCGTTTCACTCATCATCCACACCACAGATGCTGCTCCGCTGGCACTGGATAGGTTAATGCTGGCAATTGCTTTCTTTAATGAAGGTGAGAAAAAGGACATCTGTAGTGTCCAGCCTTCACCTTGACATTGTTTATTTAGACCAGTGGTTCCCAACTGTTTCTTTAAAGGTCCAGTGTGT